ATTCTCAGATTCTCCAGCATCTGCAGTTCCTACTATCTCTAGAATAGATTCAGCCCACTTTCTCTGCTCCTTTAACCAGTTACCAACCACTGACTCCAACAGTTTTAAACTGTTTCCAATAACTGAAGACAAAGTAACTTGTGTTTAAGGAAATAAGTGAGGCCAGCAATGTGGAGGTTCGATTGATGGATTTTTCAATAGATACATGGATAGATTGTCGAGCACCAGAATTCAGAGCAGGTCCTTCAGTAAGATGTAGGTCAAAAATATTTCTTCTCCAAAGTAACAGAAAACACAGAGCAGCTCCAGGCTCATTTAAGAAACCTAATCATCGCTTGACTTTGACAGAAGTGATCTGGTGGATCTGCACTCCCTCGGAGGTAAACTGGTCTTTAGGGTTGACAGCACTAAACCAGACCAGCCATTTATTCTCCTCTTCAAGGGCCTGGCATAAGCAGTTTCCACACACAACGTACATTCGTCATGACAACACTATAAATGGTTCCGACTTGACATTATCTGGGCCAACGTCCTGGAACTCCCTTCCTAGGGTACTGTGGGTGCACCTTTTCCCCAAAGGAATGGGGCAGGTTTAAGAGAACAGCTCTCCACCACCTTCTAAAGGGCAATTCAGATCAGTTTCCCCCAGCCTGCAACACCCACCACTCACTAAGATTAAAAAAAAAACAAACGTATGATCCAACAGTGGACTGCTACCTATGTAAAGAATATAGTAGTCTCAGAGGGAAGAGTTAATTGCAATGCCAGGGCATACAAGCCAAGTGCTAGAAAATGGGATTAGAATAGTTAGAATAATGCTTGTTCTGGGCTAGCACAGGCACGACGGGTCGATGGGCCGATGGGCCAAAGGGCCTTCTTCTGTGCAGCAGACCCCTATGACAATGATTCTACGACTTATTAGGCAGAGGGCAGCACAATGGCTCAGTGGTTAACACTGCTGCCTCACAGTACCAGGGACCCGGGTTCAATTCCACCCTCGGGCGACTGTGCGGAGTTTGCACATTCCCCCTGCGTCTGTGTAGGTTTCCTCCCACAGTCCAAAAGATGTGCAGGTTGGGTGGGTTGGCCATACTAAATTGTCCTATTGTCCAGGGATACGCAGGCCAGGTGGATTAGCCATGGGAAACACAGGGTTACAGGGACACAGGGAGTCTTTGGAGGGTCGGTGTGGATTTGATGGGCTGAATGGCCTGCTTCCAAGCTGTAGGGATTCTATTATTAATAGCAGATTGGGAGGACAGAAGGCAATTTGAATGAGATGTTTGAAAGAACAATGAGAATTGGCCACACAGATAGCGATAATAACTCTACCCCCAGGAGTGAATCTGGAACAGAGACAGAACCTTGAATAAAAACAGAAATTACTGGAGAAGCTCAGCAGGTCTGGCAGCATTTGTGAAGAGAAAGCAAAGCCAACATTTTGGGTTCCTTCCTTAGAAGGAACGGTGGCTCAGTGGTTAGCACTGCTGCCTCACAGCGCCAGATACCTGGGTTCGATTCCACCCTCAGTCGACTGTCTGTGTGGAGTTTACACATTCCCCCCGCGTCTGCGTGGGTTTCCTCCAGGTGCTCCGGTTTCTTCCCACAATCCAAAGATGTGCAGGTTAGGTGGATTGGCCATGCTAAATTGCCCATGGTGTTCGGGGATATGTGGATTAGGTGGGTTATAGGGGGATGGGTCGGGGTGGGATGCTCTCAGGGTCAGTATGGACTTGTTGGGCCAAAGGGCCTGTTTCCACACTGTACGGATTCTATGAAGGGAATTTTGAACACTGAACGAAGACAGTCAAAGAAATGTGCCAACCTTTCCAACACTACCTGGTGTCTGCAGCTCTGGGTGTTCTTTCTGAAATTCATCTTTACGTTTCTCCAAGTCTTTCTCGAAGCGCTCATACTCCTTTTGATACTCCTCCTGCTCTTTACTGGGTACCTGGCTTGAAGGATCCTGCGTGGCACAACATTGGCAATGGGTAAGCCAGAGAAAATCCCAAACCAATCCCCAAAATAACCGTGTGCTCACCAGTGTCCGAGTGATGAATACAAACAGAAAGTCGTACACTTTACACAAAAGGAATGGTAGAATTGAGATTATGTTACTGGCCAAAACATTTCCAATCCCTCAATGGCAATTGGGGAATTTACACTGAAACAAATAACCCTTGAATAAAATTCCATGTACCAGTTATTTGGATCACTAAAGTCATTCTGTAGAGTGTATTGATTGATTCCATTTCAACTTTTCTTTATGCTGAGAGGCTGTTACCCACTTTGGGACATCCAGGCCCAGATGGCGTGGTCTAAGAGTAAGGGGTTACCCAATTAAAACAGGATTTCTTTTCTTTCAAATATTAGTCAATCTTTAGAATTCTTTACCGCAGAGAGATGCCACAGCTGAGTTGTTATGTATATCCAAGACTGAGATAGATTTTTAATCAGTAAGGGAATCAAAGAGATGCGGAAAAGGGCAGAAAGGTGGAGTTGAGCATCAGAGGATGAGGGGTGACCTCAGAGGATGAGGGGTGACCTCAGAGAGGTTTATAAAATCATGAGGGGTATGGATAGGATCAATAGTCAAGGTCTTTTCCCCAGGGTGGGGGAGTCTAAAACTAGAGGGCACAGGTTTAAGGTGAGTGGGGAAAGATTCAAAAGGGGCCCAAGGGGCAACTTTTTCATGCAGTGTTTGGAACGAGCTGCCAGAGGAAGTGGTTGAGGCTGGTACAATTATAGTATTTAAAAGGCATATGGATGGGTACATGAATGAGAAGGGTTTAGAAGGATATGGGCCATCTGCTGGCAAACGGGGCTGAGTAATTTAGGATATCTGGTCGGATGAACAAGTTGGACTGAAGGGTCTGTTTCTGCACTATGAATTTCTTGATAGCCACCTATTCAATCATAACTCTGATCACCTTTCTAACTCACCTACTTTGGCTCTTTCCTCATCTCTAAGAAGTCTGTGGATTTTTTTTTCTTGGTTTGTGCTGTACAAGATCAATGCAAGTCATTGTATAAATTACAAACTGAAAACTTACAATTCTGCACTGATAGCTATCTTTGGTTCTAATAAATTATCATTGAATGGAATTCATAAGCCACTGTGGCATGAACTAACTGAAAGGGTGTTCTGCACAAAACTCCTGAAAGATTACATGCCGTCTGAGCTACACGGCACAGAATGTGGTTTGCCACGTCTTCTCAGAAGATTGTGATCGATTCCCCCGTCTCTGATAAACCAGAGATTGTTGGGGTCGAACTTTTCAGTGTAACATAGGTCAAACAAAGGCTGGGCCCCTCGATTCTCACCATTGTTCCAGGCTCAGTCAAGCTGAACGTGAGAAAGGACAGAACATCATGGTCATCTGCAAAAGATGATGCACAGAGTTATATCATTACAGCTGTCAGGAACACAAACCAAGAGCAGGAGTAGGCCATTCGACCCTTCGAGCCTATTCCTTCATTCATTACGATCATGGCTGATCATCCAACATTTCCTGCTTCACCCATACCATAGAGTCCCTACTGTGTGGAAGCAGGCCATTCGGCCCATTGAGTTCCACACTGACCCACCCCACCAACCTATCCCTGTAACCCCACATTTCCCATGGCTAATCCACCTAACCTGCACATCTTTGGACTGTGGGAGGATACCGGAGCACCCAGAGGAAACCCACACAGACACAGGGAGAATGTGCAAACACTACGCAGGTAGGCGCCAGAGGCTGGAATCGAACTTGGGTCCCTGGCACCATGATGAACTGTACTAACCACTGAGCCACCGTGCCGGCCCCTCTTTGATCTCTTTAGCTCCAAGTGCTAGATCCAATAATTCATGAGGATCATGGGTGATCCTTTATCTCAGTGCCATATTCCTACTTTCTCTCCATATTCTTCGATGTCTTCAATATATAAAAACATACAATTCTCTTTTTGAAGGTATTCAGTAATTCGACTTCTGCAGCCTTCCCTGGTAGGGAATTCCTCGGGTTCGTTACCCTCCGTGTAAAGAAATGTTTCCTCATCTCAGTCCTAAATAGTCTATTCCGTACCCTGTGACTGTGACTCTTGGTTCTAGACTTCTCAACCAGGGTAAACATTGCCCCCTGCATCTAGACTGTCCAGCCCTGTTACATACCCTCTCCTGCTTCTAAACTCGACTGAATATACGCCCAGTTGAACCCACTTTGTCTGTAATTTTATCTATACCAACACTTGCTCACCAATCTCCATTCAGCACTGACCTTTCCTGATATTTAGTAGTCATACCCAGAGTCACATTCCTCAAAGTAATCATATCTTAACCACATGCTGTTCAAAACTAGTTAAAGACCTGACTGACTGAAATGAACGCTCCCTTTAAAATCACCAATTTTACACAGCGGTGCTGCATTTCAGAAAGGCAAATCAGGGCAGGACGTATACACTTAGTCCTGGTCAGCAAGTACAGGTGAAAAGGTACAAAAACAGAAGTTGCTGGAAAAGCTCAGCAGGTCTGGCAGTATCTGTGAAGAAAAAAAAAAATCAGTGTTAACGTTTCGGGTCCGGTGACCCTTCCTCAGAACTGGACCATAGACGTTACCTCTGCTTTCTCTCCACATATGCTGCCGAAGATTGAAGACAGTCTGCTTCAGCTGCAGCGAGCCTTTAGGAAAAGGCAGCACAGTTTTTACTCCTTTTAACCAATATTCTATTTATTCTGCAAACAGTGACACAGTTATCTTTATTCTCCTGTTACAATCGGAGAAAATGCAACTCTCAATCTGACCACTAGATGGAACCAAAACTACACAGTACGGTGTTACCGACTCACCGTTAATCCATTCCACGGTCCCTATACATTCGGAATGAGTCATGGAGCAATACAGCACAGAAACAGACCCTTCGGTCCAACTCCCCCATCCTGACCAGATATCTTAAATTAATCTGGTCCCATTTGCCGGCATTTGGCCCATATCCCTCTAAACGCTTCCTATTCATATACCCTTCCAGGTGCCTTTTATATGTCATTGTACCAGCCTCCACCACTTCCTCTGGCAGCTCATTCCATACACACACCACCCTCTGTGTGAAAAAGTTGCCCCTTTTGGGTCCTTTTTAAATCTTTTCCATCTGACCTTAAACCTATGCTGTATAGTTTTAGACTCCCTTATCCTGGGAAAAAAAAAGACCTTGGCTATTCGCCCTATCCATGCTCCTCGTGATTTTATAAACCTCTAAGGTCACTCCTCATCCTCCGACACTCCAGGGAAAATAGCCCCAGTCTATTCAGCCTCTCCCTATGGCTCAAACCCTCCAACCCTGGCAACATCCTTGTAAATCTTTTCTGCACCCTTTCAAGTTTCACAACATCTTTCCCGTAGCAGGGAGACCAGAACTGAATGCACATCGGGATGCCATTTGGCTCAAACATTACGAGAAATGTACCTTGCCCCACCACCAGCTATTGCAGATGAAGACCATCCAAAACGTTTCTCCCTTTATTAAAAACTCATTTTCCATTGGCCCTAAATAGCCTAGGAGTTTTTATAAAGTGCTACATTGCCCCATCCCCCAACTACGTCACCTCTATCTTCTCCAAAGTACATACTGGCTGCTAATTATTCTGTACAGTTTGTTCTCCACAGCTAGGTATTTTCTCCGGATTTAAAAAGTAAAAAAGAATGCTTATGCAAAAATCCTTGCAGCAACTATTTTCTCATAATTTAGGAACCATAGAGTGATACACTACAAAAGAGGACCTTCAGTTCATTGAGTATGTACAGTGCTGCCAAAGCTACACTATATCTACATAGGCCCACACTCCAGCACTTGGCCCACAGCCTTGAATACTTCAAGTGGCTCAATGGAAAGAGATAGGCAAAAATTCTGAGATATAATACCTGTAGCAGACCTCGCATCTCACAGAATCCCTACAGCGTGGAGGCAGACAATTCAGCCCATTGAGTCCACACCGACCTTCATAACAGCATCCCACCCAGACTCACCACCCTACCCTTTCCCATAACCCTGCATTTCCCATGGCAAACACACCTAGTTTGCACATCCCTGGATACTATTGGCAATTTCCCATGGCCAATCCAAGTAGCCTGCACATCTTTGAACTTTGGGAGGACCCGGAAGAAACCCACGTAGACACGGGGAGAATGCGCAAACTCTACATGGACAGTCGCCCGAGGCTGGAATCGAACCCAGGTCCCTAGCGCTGAGACAGCAGTGCTAACCACTGAGCCACTG